ACTAGTACCAGTGGAATATAACCGACTGACAGTGTCGGAGACTGTGTCAATAGATGAACCCGCCGGTGGATACATGGAGATGTTGGAGTACAGAAACTCTGCTAGAGGTTACTTAATGGCTCTGGAAGACGAGAGTCCCTTGGAAGGTTATCTAGAGACAAGGCTGCAAGGCACCACCCTTAAGCAGAAAGCGTACGGGAGTCTAGCGTCGTCTGAGATGCAGGCAGAAACGATTGAGCAATTGGTGAGCCTTCCATGGAAAACAGTAGTGTTACGGTACTTTGAAGATGAGATGAGGACTACGCCGAGGATACACACTCTGATAGCAGTACCTTACGTGAGAACCGAATTACAACTGAGGTTCGCCTGGTGCATGATGGGACTGACTCGCGGGGAATATGATTCAGAAGAAAGGGAAAGATCAAAAGAAGAGAATGTATTCCTGGTGACGAGCTTGAGGGATCTGATAACCCAAGAGGGGGCAGCAGTAGCGTGCGCAAAGCGGAGAGACGCTCACTGTTTCATCCGATTCATGATAGAGCAGATTTCAGTGCCAGCATTGAACACTTGTGTCAAGATGCTGAGAGAGGGCGATGAACGAGTGAAAGCCCTACTCTTGCTAGCACTGCTGGATATGCATCAAAGCAAGCCAATGAGGGTCAACATGAAAGAACCTGAGGAGCTAGAACCCATGAGAAAAATAGACGAAATCAGGAGATTCTCAAACAAGGAGCTGAACTCACTAAGGAATCTATGGCAGCACTGCCAAAATCCAGTGAGTACTGCGGACCGATCAGGAAGAAATCATACAGTTACGTGTCCGGAGTTATAGGGATAGCGTACAACCCTTTCCTGAGCGAAGACATACGCGATTGCTTCTTTGATTACGAGCAAGCCGTGTTGCTAAGGTTCTAGACGTCAAGAATTGCAACGATTAAAAGCGCTGCTAATCCGCAGACCAAGCTGGGACTAGTCTTGGAAAAAACGGTGGCTGCACCTTCCGTGCCAAAGTCCGACAAACGATTAGAGTTTGGATTGGGATTCTCAGATGAATTACTGAGATCGAGCTTGATGGTGATGTGGGAACTGATGAGACCATCATGGTGTCCTAGTCCCATAGCTGACTCGATAATACGGGCAACACAAGATGTGCAGAGGGAACTAAATGCAGACTGTAACCTGCGTGACCTTAATATCATATATAATGTGATGACAACAGCCTCTAGGAGCAACGGGGAAGACAAAGTGGAGTTGCCTGTTTGGCAGAAGTCTGTGGACTGGGAGGTCACATTTGTGGAAGTCTGGATTGCGTGAAAACTCTAGAGAAACAACACAAGCAGTGGACGATATTGTTTGGGAACTTTGTGATGAAAGCAAGGACGGAACCGAGGTGAATCTAGTGACTGCACTAGAATTCTACAGCATGTTTGGTTCTTTACAGTCACTATTGAATCTAGAACAGAAACATGAGATGGTCACAGCCATCAGTGTAGAGGTGTTCCCAGGAGTTTTGCAAACTGAGCAAAAGCACATATGAAAATGGAGGGAAGCGATCGAGGCGGAAATGAACATCCGACACAGTGAAACTTATCGTAGACCATCAGGAGCACGGTATTTGGTAGGATAGACATTAGCTCCAATGTGCAAGAGCAGATACCCGGTGCATTTTGTAGCTGTGGATGTAAAAAGTACGAGAACGATCGTGGATCAAGCCTTCTCAGTGCCAAAGTGCGTGAGACTAACGAGAATGTCGGAAAAATCTTACGAGTTACTCTGCAAAATGTTCTCAGCAGTTCCAGAGAGCACAAAGGAGGACTTAGAGCCGATACTGGGAAGGAAGTTCATGGGATACGTCAGTGGGAACTTCAGTGATTTTGAGAGGCAAAACAGAGAGGATCAACCGTTACAGATTACAATACAGTAGACGAGAATGATGAAGTCCACCGAGTGATGATGGAAGTGGAACCACTACTGGAAGCTTCGGGAAAGCGTAATTGGAGGAGCATCATGTTGACACATGACAAGTTTCCCTGCCATTGCTTGCTGCAAACATGGTGGTTCCCCGAGCGTAGTAATCTGGCGTTGATCTGGGACTCTGGAGAGCTGCTCTCCATGGGTTTACCAGACTCATCAAGAACCATAACAATAGTAATAGGGGGAGTTATGATGGCGATACGATGGTTGGAAGCTCATGTGAAAGAGAAAAATAGACAGGAGGCGCTAACGAGAGAACAATTGCAGAAATTGGTTTGTCTAAAAGATTTAGACCTTTTTGAGACAATGTGCAAGATTCTGAACTTTCCGATGGAAGTGAAAAAGATATGGGTCAGCAGACGACTGATACCACGTTTTAGAGCCTGCATGGTTGTACGAATATGCCAGAAAGCACACCTCGAAGCACGGCAGAGTGTACAATGGGTATCAGCTAGACATTGGGGCAGGAGATTATAAGCGAGCTTTCGTGACTCATCGGAATGCAGTGACCACCGTCGTGAAGAGAATTTCCAGGACAAGTGAACGTAGTGGAAAGGAAAAAGAAGAGATGTTGAATTAAGATTTTTAAAGAAACGTGACGTTGTGTCTCCACAACAGCTTCTGCAGGAACAGAGAATCTAGCGTGGATCCCCTACCTTGTTGTAAACAAAGGGTAGAAGAGCAGAAGTGTTGGAGGACTGCTTCCATCAGCGTCAGAATAGCTAACGATGTGATGCAAGACACAGAAACTGAAAGTGCAGAGTCAATGTCGCAGGAGGAGGAGATGGAACATTGACAAATGGCCGGAGAAACAAAGAAGTAACGAAAGGAAGAAGTTAAAACTCAGTATTGTTTTATGTGTGTGAGAAAAACTCAAGTGAGAAACTATGCAACCAAGTTGTAATTGAAAAACTGAAACGATTAGTTGAGTTTTGAACATTAAGGAATTTGTTGCATTTATAAAATTGCATTTTGATTTTAGTTAGTGGCTTTAGAGACACTTGCTATTTATCCACAAAGGCTTGAGCAAAGAATACATTTAAATGTTCCAGCCTGCATGATTGTTTCTAATCAACTAGGACTTTTGATCATTTTGTGGTGACATGAAAGACTTGGATAATCTAATGAGGAGAGAGATTGTTTCATTGCTCTTTCTAACCGCAGAGTTCCTTAATTTTATTATTCAGAATAATAACAACCAAGATTTCCGAAGGGAAGAAGCATAGTAGGATAGTTTTAGCTTGTTGGTTGGCAGGACTGTCCTGCAAACCAACGTCTTTTAAAATCTGGGAGAAAAAGTTTTAAAATCAGGACATTGACATTGGAAGTCGGAAAAGATGATTAAGTCATATCGTCAAAGTACAGATTAATGAAAGAATTTGGAAAGCTATAGTAGTGTAGTATGATGCCATTTGTATTCTGCGGTGAGTCGATATGACGCGGATAAAAGAAATTTCGTCCATTTTGTAAATTCTGTTCGACGACACTGTACCTATTTTACGAACATTGCGAGATTCAATGAGGACATTGACCGGACTGTCCGGGGAGTATGCGACCTTCGACCAGAACGGACAAAAATTCAGATTAGGCGATTTCGAATAGTTAGCAGCTAACCTTCCGATTTGATAGTTTTGAGAGATTAGTGACGTTAATGGGACGATTAGTCAAACGGTGAAGGTCAAGATATTCTGGTATTTTGAAATTTTAAAAATTCGAACTGAGAAACCGCACTTCCGAGAAACGGAAAAACCGCCATTTTGGAAGAAAAGCCGGAAAAAATCAGAACGACAATAGTTGCGACGAAGATCACTATGGAAAAATAGAAGATCAGAATCGAAGAAAAAGCAGAGTTAGCAGAGACCGCTCCGAGTTGCAACGATTGTGTCGCTACAATCGTTGCAAGGTCGTTCACAACTACGGTGAAGGGTAGAAAAACAGCCTTCCGGAAAGAAGCTAAGGGCCTTATTTCCCCGGATTCAGGAATCCGGAGGGTTCTCGGGATTTGAACCGAAACTGTTTTACATAAGCTTTTAGCTTCCCGGTTATGTCTTCAATTGAATTTATTTAATATCTGAATTCATTCTACGAGGATGAGAAGCTAGGAGTTGGGGGAAAGGGTTAATCCATCTTCGATGGAGATGATGGTTTTTATCTACTGAAAAATTAGCGGGCAGAAGCTACTCTGCTCTACGTTTATCAGAACTCCAAATATCAGCAAAGAATTTTTTAACGTAGAGCAGAGTAGCTTCTGCCCGCTAATTTTTGGATGCACCGGTGGCGCTGCTCCAACAGCCACGCGGACGATGCAGTGATTATCCGAAAAACTAAGTGAAAAAAGACAAGAAAGCTATCCAGAATCTATAAACTACATAAGAACTAAAATAAGCTTTGCGCTCCTGAGGAGCTCTATACTTTGTATAAGGGGTTGCAGATCGCTACGCAAAGTTCAATTTATCGACAACTCCATAAGCGCTATTGTAGAGGAAGGACGGCTAAGATAAATTAACATTACGACGATGCATTTAATGCTGATTTATGACTTCATTGCTGATATATATGCGTTTTTATATTGCTGGTATGGCCCTATCCAGCTTGTGCACTTACCGTAACAAACGGAAGGGCCCCTTTTGTAATTTAGTATTTTTTTAATCTGAACAAAAAACAATAGTAATATAACGAATAGTACTAGCCCTGTTTTTAGGAGAGACCTCGTGGTCTGGGGGTACTGAGACCCAGCCATGAGCTCACTAATTTTGCATGTAATTAAGTTAATTTGAGCGTTCTGCTCGAAGCCGGAGAACAGTAACGTTTTTGTCGACCCGATGTTGAAAAGACCACCAAAAGAACTGGCTTTGGTAGAGACGGTGAAAAGCATCTAGAGCTCTGTTTAGACGTTGGCCAGTCGTCTTAGGACTTAGCTTTATTTTCCGTCGATATGTACTTCCGGGCGAATGTTACATGTCACACTAGTTATATTTTAATTCTTTGTGAAAGACGAACTGTAAAAATTTAAATCAATTATAGATAAGTTAATGGCAAGCAATTCTATGTTTGCTAACCAAAACCCCGAAATGATTTTCCCCTCTGAGCTTGGTGATTTTATGGGTGGTCACATGGAAACCCAGATGAACATAAACCATGCTATCGCAAACGAGCAGGCTATGATGTCTGCTGGAGAGTTTCAAAGTCACATGGTAGCTGGACCAAGTACTGCAGGTGTCAGTCCACCAGCAGCCAAACGATCTAAAAGAGCGCATGCAGATACCAACGCGGAAGAATCTAATTTACAGTCACTGTTTCAAATTGTGCGGAATGGACGGCAGGCTTTACAGTGTGTCGTTGATGACTGGATTGAGACGTATAAGCAGGACAAAGACAGCGCTCTGCTGGAGTTAATCAATTTTCTGATTCATTCGTGCGGGTGCAAGGGCACTGTTACGCCAGAAATGTTTGTGACGATGGACCAAACAGAAATTATTCAGAGAATGACCGAAGAATTTGATGAGGACTCTGGAGAATATCCACTGATTCAAAGTGGTCCGACTTGGAAAAAGTTCAGGTCAAATTTTACCGAGTTCATAGTCGTTCTGGTCAGACAGTGTCAATCGAGTCTGATTTTCGATCAATACCTGTTCGAAAACGTAATTTCTCTTCTGACAGGTCTATGTGATTCACAAGTTAGAGCGTTTAGACATACAAGCACTCTTGCAGCAATGAAATTAATGACTGCATTGGTCACTGTAGCCGCCAGTTTGAGCGTGCAGCATGACAAGATATCGCGACAGTTTGAGGCTGAAAAAGCAAAGAATGCAGCACGGCGAGCCTCGCAAAGAATGGATTTGCTTCGAGCCAAAAACGAAGAGTTCGAAGAGCACATAAAAGAATTACAACAAATGATGGGAAATATTTTTAATGGCATTTTCGTGCACCGTTATCGTGATACGCATCCAGAAATTCGGGCAATATGCATGGGGGAAATAGGAACGTGGATTAAAAACTACCACACGATGTTTTTGGACGACGGCTATTTGAGATACATTGGCTGGAATCTCCATGACAAACATTGGGATGTCCGACTGAAATGCGTGCAGGCACTGAGCAACCTTTACACCTCCGAAGAGTTCGCGTCTAACCTGGAGCTGTTTACAAACCGGTTCAAGGACCGAATAGTGTCGATGACGCTGGATAAGAAAATCGACGTTTCGGTCCAGGCAATCAAGCTGATCATTAGCATCAATGTCTGGAAAGATGATGCACTTGACAGCACCGACTGTGAAGCAGTGTATCAGTTAGTGTTTTCCTCTAATCGTTCAGTGGCTCAAGCAGCCGCTAATTTCCTCATTCAGAGGCTTCTTACAAGAGAAGAGGATGAATCCTCCGAGCAGAACAAGAACGCCCTCAGGAAAAAGGGTAAAAACTTGAGCCCGCACATTGCGCCCATGCGAGATCTCGTGCAATATTTCATAGAGAGTGAGCTACACGACCATGCTGCGTATTTGGTGGACAGTCTATGGGATAGCACGTCTCTAGTGAAGGATTGGGATTGCATGACTCAAATGCTGTTAGACGATATTTCAAGTGGCCACGAACCGCTAAGTGACAAAGAAGAGACTTATTTGATTGACATCATGACATGCTGTGCACGACAAGCATCTGATGGCCAGCCGCCGGTAGGAAGAGCGCCGCCTAAAAAGTTAACTGGAAAAGAGAGGCAAACAGTTCAAGAAGACAAAAATCGACTCACCAATCATTTCATCCAAACACTGCCCCGTCTCTTAAGCAAACATGGAATTGACCCGGAAAAGGTGGCCGATCTAGTTGTGATTCCGCAGTACTTTGATCTGGACATGTACACCACAGGAAGGTTGGAACAGTATCTAGACCAACTGCTCAAGTTGCTGACTGAAATAGTTACGAAACATGCAGACAAACAGATTTTGCACAACTGTTCAAAAACATTCGAATATCTCTGCAACGATTCCTATGCGATCAGTAACAAGTGCAAAATTGCTAGGTCAGCCTTAATTGATCACTTAGCTCAAACATTCCAAGCTGCGTGGCAAGACTACTTGGAAAATGTTGACGATTTGTCTGAAACGGAAATTTACAATTTGACCGCGTCAATGAGAAGAATCTGCGCTTTTTATTCTTCCCATAATTTAAATGCTTGGGAGCTGTACGACAGTTTGTTCAAAATCGCCAAAAGCTACAGTGAAAACCTCGCCATAAAAAGCCCGATCGTGAGTGACGCCCTTGCCTCTCTGCAATTTCACTTGATGTGGGCAAGGTCTGACATAGACGACCAAAACCCAGACAAGACCCAAGTCAAGGACATCAAACGACGTCTGCACGAAGTAATGAGCCTGAGTTATGAACTGGTGTGTCAACGAAATAACGCCCTTGAAGTTATTGAGGATGCTTATACTAACATTTGTGATTTGCTCGTAGTTTATGGGAAGCAAATTGGTTTCAATAAAGCTCTCAAACCCCTGGTGTACCTGGCGAGCGACGATTTGCAGCAGGAGCTGAGATTGTTCAATGACAGAAATGTGTTCACAAATGAAGACGAAGATGTTTTGGCGGGTGTGGACGAGGAAGAAGAAGATGCGTCTATCAAAATCGAAGCACTCCACAAACGGCGCAAGTTGCTGGCATGTTTTTGTAAGCTAATCATTTCGAATAACATTCAAATGACTTTGGCGGCCGATGTGTTCAAGCATTACTTGAAGTTTTACAACGACTACGGAGACATCATTAAAAATACTCTTGCCAAACTGAATGACTACAATCGAACGGAGTGCGCCAAAATCATTCTGAGATCGTTGCATATAATGTGGGATACCGTGCCGCATATTAGCCCCACAAGAGTGGATAAAGCGTGCGAACAGTTTGCGCATATTAAAGATCTAGCTAAGAATTTCTCCTTCATATTTTCCCTCGACCAGATAAAGTCAAGAGAAGCTATACAAGCATTGCACAAGGAAGGAATCTTCTACGCTTCCCAGCCGGAATCAGCATCTCCCAATGTGCCTCCGAAGAACATAGACTTCCTGGAAATAGTGAATGAGTTTACAGGGAAGATGATGAGGCAGGACAAGAAGATAGTGATGGAGTATCTGGACGACGTCTTCCCCCCAAACACAAACATGAGTAAGAAAGAGGAGCCTCATTTGAGCATCCTAGACACTAGGCACATTTTATTGTTAAGATTTAATCATTCGAGTTTTTGAACTGGCTCTAAGCGTTTAAACAAGTAATGGTAATGTTTTTGTGTACCGAGTTACAGAATGCATTCTCTTAATCATATTAAGCAGCCAGGGAGTCTCCTTTCTTTCTTTCATTAGCCCACGTTGGTCGGGTTGGGCTCGTCCGTCTCCAGGCTAAGGAACTTCGCAACTTCCACCGGCCTAAGCCACAGGTCTGCGGGAGTGAGTGGGGAGGGATTCTTGGGATTCAGTTAAAAATCTGGCAACTAGTGTGGGGTGCTAGGTGACAGTCCGGGCATAGTGGGGAAACTTTGTTGTGTAGTCGGGAGAGGTATGTGTTTAAAAGCCGACTGTAACCAGACCGGAGTTGGGAGAGTTTGCAGCGGGTAGTTCTGGGGAGAGATTTTAATGTGGGGTCGACCTTAGGGGGCGGTATACAAATTACTTTAGAGGGAGGGATTTCTGCGAGGAACTTGGTTGCTAGATTTGTGTGATTGTGTTTCAAAATGGACTCGTGGTGGTTAAAAACGAAAGTGGAAAATTCTTCTGGGTTGTTAAGATTGAGTGAAGGGTTAAGATTGGTTAAAACGGAGTCAATATCTTCTTTATCAGCGCTTAAAATTGATTGTCGAACTTGACATGGGGGTGTGAGTGGTAGAAATTATTTGGGTGATGGGAGCGGTATGACGAGATAAAAAAAATTGAGAGGTTAAAAAAGTGTGATGATTTGGAACATTGAGGATCTCGACCTCACTGTGCAGGTGAGCAGTGGAACTCATGAGCGTTGAGCCGGTAATAAATCTGAGGGCTTGATTTTGGGTAACGTGCAGGTGGTTAATGGAAGTTTTGCTGGCGGCATGTGACCAGCAGGGGAGGCATAATCTACAATGGGGCGTATTAAGGCTTTGTAAGTTAAGAGAAGGGTTTCTTTTGTCTGTCCCCAAGAGGATCCTGCGAACGCTTTCAGTACAACTATCCTGCGGCGGGCCTTGTCGGCGCATCTTTTACAGTGTGCAGCAAAGCATAAGGTTGGGTCACAAGTGACCCCTAAAATTTTCGGGTTTTTGTTAAGAGGGAGTGGCTCGTTGTTTAAAAGTACACTGGGTCTTTTGTTAAAATCTTTTTTGTATGAAGAAAAACGGGTAACTGATCCTTTAGAGGACGCGAAAGATAACTTGCTGGAAGTGAAAAACTTAAAAAGATGATGAAAGTAATCGTTCAACGATCGAGATGCTGCCTCTACATCAGGGCTTTGGGAAAAGGGATGGAAATCGTCAGCGTAAGATGTGCGACGAACATTATAGGGGGGTGTGGGAGAGTCATGGACGTAAAAATAAAAAGAGTGGGCGAAAGAACAGAGCCCTGGGGGACTCCACATTGAACTATTTTGCGAGGGGATTCTTGGTTGTTATAAAGTGTGGTGACCTGTCGGCCGTTGAAGTAGTTACTCAGCCAACGAACAATACCTCTCGGGAGTGGTGTGTCATGAATTAGTTCCACGAGAGTACGATGACACACCATGTCAAAAGCCTTCGAGAGGTCAAGCGTTGTGAGAACGGTGCGGGAGGGGGGCGATTTTGATTAAAACCGTCTGTGACAAAAAATTTTAGTGTGGAAAAATTCTGGTAGTGGAAACGACGAACACCATGTTGATGTGTGGCGGTAAGGAGATACTTTGTGAAAAAAAAGGATGAATAAGCCTTTCTAAAATTTTAACAGCGGGGCAGAGTAAAGAGATGGGCCTATAAGAAGTGGATAATTTATGGTCCTTTTCGGGTTTGGGTAGGGGGATTATCTTAGAATTTTTCCACATTTGAGGGATGATATTTTCAGACAGCGACATAATTTCAGACAGCGAGGGTTTGCTGTCCGCTATGGTTTGTTTAGTTCGTAGGGGGTAGAAAGTGGGGTTATTTAACAGGGTGAGCTTGGCTGTTTCGTGTCTGGTTTTCCGGAGTAGCTTATCTGACCCATGAATCCTGGCATTTGTGAATTGTTTGTTAAAAGCTTTACCTTTGTCTGTGTCTGAAGAGATTGTTTTTGATTCAAATTGAATAGGGTGCCTTCCTACCACAGGCCCGGATCCGTTTAGGGAGCGTACCACTTTCCAGACTTTTCTGGCGCCAGTGCGGTGATCACTGGTCTGGAGGAATTTACGCCATTTGTTTCGCCTGTCTTTCGATGGCTGATTGAGGAGTTGGGAGTTCAATTGGGAAGGAGTGAAACGAGAGTGCTGTGTAGGTTCCATGGGCTGATTGTTGTGGCGACCGAGATCTGTTTCAGCAGCAAGAAAGGCTGACTCTGGCGAAAGAGTCGGCGTGTAGTGGCGCCCGGCGGGGATGTGGTGGCGTGCTGCCCTCAGTACCAGATCCCAAACGAATTTCTCCCCGGCCGTAACTGAAGAAGGAAGCCTCGAGGCAAAGCAATCTGACTCAATCTCCTCGGTAAATTGCCGCCAATCAGCCCTGAGGAAGTTAATGAAAGTCTTTTTCGGAGAAAGGTGTATGCTGTTTTCTAGAGGTAATTCGATAAGTTTGGTGAGGTGGTCGGAGCCTAGAGATTTAATTGGGGTCCAGGACCAAGAAAGTAATAGGCTCTGCTCTGCTGGGGATATGTCAGTTGAGGAGAAGTGTGCATCAGAGGATATAGAATTAAAAGGTACTCTAGTTTGGGTATCATTCAGGGGGCGTAAGTGGATTCAGTAATTTCATTTAAGAGTAGTTGACCACGTTGATCTTCTTCTAAGTTTGAATTCCAGAGGGAAGAGTGGGCGTTTGGATAACAAGTACAAGAGCGTCACCTAGAGCCAGGAGATCAGTAAGGGACGCAGTATAACTGGGGGGACAACTAGATCTAGGGGGGATATAAAAATTACTAATACGAAGTTTCGACGTACCGGCTACAACTGATATACACATAGCCTCTTGTGTACCGTCGGTATTTTAACTTCTTCGTATTGTATGGATTCATGTATTGCAATGAGGAGGCCTCCACCTTCTTTGGGCCTGTCTTTTTGAATAATAGTGAATAAGGGACCTAGTGAGGGGTTACGGCTTTGTTTCTTGGAATAGGGCTGTGTATTTCATTCTGGGCTAGGAATGCTGCAATTTCAGGAGTTTTTCCAGATATTCCAGTACAATTAAACTGGAAGATTCTAAGGATACCTTTGAATGTTTGGTTTGTGAATTGGTTGCAGAAGGGGCTGTGGGCAAGGATTGCTTTGTGGGGATTGTTACTTGGTAAGAGGTGGTGGATGTAGCTTTGGTTCCGGGGGAGGTAAAATGAAAGTAGAAGTGAAAAGGGGGCAGTAAAAATCTATTTTATGTTCTTTTAAAAATTTGAGGCCACTGCATTTAAAATGTATCCAGCCACATATGTGGCACCAGACACTGGCTTGGTTTCTACTAATGTTTAGGTTACAGGGTGAACATTTGTAGGGACCGGGTTAGGGTTAATGCCGGATCTTAGGAGTAGGGTGAGTATGAGCAGACGGAGCAGCCTGGCCGGCTTCAGACGCTCCGTAACCGAAAACCCGGAGACTTCTGAGCTTTCCCCGACCCATGGGAGGGGGAGCTTGACGCCATTTGTAAGCTGGCAAGCCAGGATGTCGGGTCCACCACTTGAAGGCGGCGTCTTCTGGACCCAGGGAGTCTCCTCGTCTATTTGCGAACGCATTCATTGCGTTTTTAATGTTTTTCGAAAGACATCAAATTTGCTCATGCTGCATTGTTGTTTGTGTTTTAAGGTCGTGACGATACATGGTACGCACTACAATTGTACCGGGGCAACTTGGCCACGTCGGAACACGAAGCGCGTCAAATAGGCCACAAGGGGCGAACAGGTGGAGCTGCGCAGCCTCCCACTGCGACTGCAATCAAGAAGATCCCAGCTGCCGCCTCTTCGTCCACCGCATCCAGAAAGAGACAGTTGGATGACTCATTCGCCAGTGATTATCCAGGCATGTAATACTTTTGAACTCGCATTAGACACTTCTCCTTCTGGTAGAAACTGTCAACTGCCTCGCCAAAATCATGATAGTGTGAACATATTTGGTACAAATAATGCTTTAAGAGGGACAAAACAAGTTAGTCAACGTGTTTTGTTTTGGGTTGACCAAATTGATTGCTTTAGCTCTTCGAAAACAATATAAGCATATTAACCTACCAAAAATGTGTCCGCTACTGGAACATTTTTGAGGAAAATAGCCGAAGTCAGTTTTGGAAGGTTCTGAAAAAAACTAAAACAAAAGTTTTTGTCGCTCATTTAAAATTAGGCAATATTGTCACCTTAGAAAAAACAACAGCTTTCTATAATTGAAAGGAGCAATTTGAAAGAAGACAGTATTGCCGTCCTCGCCGTTCTCTCAGCGCTCAGTCCCAAAACTTGACCCGCCTTATTTTAATTTGACATCGGAAAGCGACGAAAAACTTAGTTTGGAATGCGAAAGATTGTAGAGGGAACGGATAAAATGAAAGAAATGATGTGGAAAAACTATATATAATAGTAATTGAATTCTTTCATCTTAAAAAGGTTGTTAACAGCTCCTTCTCAGACGTGTTTTTACGACTATATCATAACAGGTACACCTGGGAGCAGCGCCGGAACCCCTCGGCCTCAACAGCCGACGAGAGCGGAAAGACTGGCTTCGAGGAACCAAATGCGAGATCAGAATTGAAATCAGAGAAACTTTATTCTCCAAGTAGTTCAAACAGTGTTGCTTCACACTTACGCGTAGTTTTGGTATTTTCTCCACTCGGTTTTTTTGTAGAATGCTTTGAACTGTTTCAATTTAATTGGTGTTCCCTTGTTATTTTTATTTTACCGTTGTTTAGATTGTTAATTGTTCAATTTGTTTGATTGTCTCTTTATTTTAATGAGTTTCCGTTTGTTTAAGAATTGATGAACATAGTTCAGACTCTTACATAGGCCTTGAAGATTTTTTTGTTTTTTTCAAAGGAAAAAGTCTGAAAATGCTCTATTTATTAAAGAAGTACATTCTTACTTATGTTTTAAGAATGCACTTTTGGTTAGGTGCGTTTTTGTGTTCAATTTAACTTCATTTGCTAAAAGGTTGGCAAAAAATCCGCGCTCCGAATACGAAGGTGAAAATGGCGGGAAAAACATGAAATTGTAAGTTTCGAAAGTAGAATTTACGTTTCGGACTTCCCGGCGTAATGAAAATTTACCTATTGATCCAGTTTTTTTTTTCAAATTGGGTTAATTTTTGTGGGAAGAGTCAATCATAAATTGTTGTTACAATTCAAATAGCTCTAAAGTCATATATTGTTTCTTTGAAATTCAAAAGTTGATTTTTTTCATAAAGAAAATCAGTATTTTTCTCAGGGGCGGATTTAGGGGAGCGGACGCCCCCCCCCCTCAGGGATTCGACCCCCTGCCGAGCCAAAGGGTCCCCCCTTTGATACTTTTTCAGAAATCCATTTTTGGCCGACCGACCCTAAAATTTTTCTGAATGCGCCTTGGGCGCCAATATATACTAACTTTGAGGGGGAGCGCGCGCCAAAAAAAAATTTTTTTTGTCAAAATTTTTCAGAAAGTGCCAAAAAACGGCTTTTTTGACTGTTTTTTCATAAGTTTGCCTGCGGCGCAGAAAATTTAGCCACAATAGGGGCAAAACAGTGCTTTGCGAGAGCTCGAAAAATCAATTTGGTCGATCTAAAAAAAAAGGTCGTCAAAATTTTGGAAAATTGTTTGAAAATCCGCCCATCCTCGAGAAAATTCTAGATCCGCTCCTGATTTTTCTGTTTCCTTGCGGTTTTTGACTTTTTCTTACTGTTTGTTGGCTTTTTTTAAACTTGTGAGGTTGATTATCGGAAACTACGATTTTTCTCCGGGTAACGTTTTTTTTTTACAAACTTGTTAGAATTTAATCTTGCTTTATTATGAAACCCATTTACTCTCAGGGTGATGTCTATTCAGTGTAGTGGTAATGCACCTGCCTGAAATTTCAATTTTAGGGAATTCGAGTGCCGGCCGGTACTTAATTGTTTTTTGTATGGTGTGTTATAACAAAAAAAAAATTAGTTTTTTGTTGCGTATATGCTTTGCAATACGTTTTTACTCTATATATCGTTTAGATAAGATTTGCTGCACTTCTGTGTCATTTTCGAATTCAGAACTTACGCGATTTGTGTCTGAGTAAACTTAAGCTAAGAGAGAAGCTAAAATTTCAATTGCAGATGCAGCGCTATTTGTTCCAACTTTTTGTAGCGACTTTTCTGATTGTTTTAATATATTTGCAATTTAAGTTTTCCATTATGTTATGCAGGGCGGGTTAAAACGTATTTTTTCTTTAAAAAAATAGTTGAAAAGCTTTTTCAATTAACAAACTTATTGGTTTATTTTTTTCGTTTTTGTTCAACTAAAATGATCGTACTCAAAGTCAGTACTCAAAGACAGTTTTTCTCAAAACATACAGTTCTTTTTGCGCAAGTTTAAAATTTTAAATAACTGGTTAGAAGCTGTTAAAGAAAAAATTACAGCATAAATTTACTGCCCTCAAGAAAACTTGTGATTACTAGTAAACGTATAAGCGGCTGAACTATTAAGACCAAGTGTTCGATCCCAAAATCGAGGTTCTGTGGTAAACAAGCATGCAACTTTTCATTTTCGACAACCTGATTTTGCCTGGCATCAAAATGGATTTGAAACATATCAAACCCTGCTGTTTTTTTGTTTTATTACCTTTGCGATAAGCAAGGGTGTTGCAATCGGGTACTAAACTTTTTCTCCCGTAACTTGGGTGTAACTTCATTTCTTTTTCAATTTTTGTTTTTAACAGCTTAATAAACTTTGGTTTTTTTTATATTGAACTTGTGGCCTTTGTCGTTTGGGGTTCGAAAAAAGTGCGTGCTTGCATGTGTTCTGAGGGAAAAAAAGGACATTTTAACATTAGTTTACATTTTTTTTTCCACATGAAAGGTTTCTGCGCAAGTATTTTCGGCTTTGTTACCGCTTGGTGATTATAAATTCAAATTCAATTAACTATCTGGCGTAGAGGTAACACAACAGCTTGTGGTTTGAATGGGGCCGGGACCTGTTTTTTTTTGCAAACGAGTTTTCGTGCTTTTTCGGGCTATCGTTCATCTGTTTATTTTTTGTCGGCTTAGTTCCTGTAGCCCGACTTTTCCAAGGTTCAGTTCTCTTACAAGTTGCTCTAACCTCCATACTTGAGACGACAAAGTCTGGGAGTTTGATTCCAGTCGAGATCAGTTTTTATTTGCAAGTAGAAAATTTTCGGCTAATTTAGATCATTGTCGGTCTGCTTACTTTCGTCGGCTTAGTTCCGCAGAAATTATTTTTTTGAAACTTGGGTTTCTTTCTAGCATTCCGAGAGCTCTTTATAAAGTTTCTAATATGCAGCAATTTTTTTCCCGGATATTTTGGGCTTTTGTTGCAATTTTTATTGACAAAACCAGTTTTTTTCCGTTAGATTTTAATCATAGTCATTCATATTTGTCTCGCAAGTGGTGCGAAGCTCAGCTTCGCCTGTGTTCTGAAGTTTTTCCGGTAATATTCTTCCAATTTCCAGGTGTAGTTTCCTGCTTGGTCAATTGATTTTGTTTTTAATCAAAGCTAATTATCAATAATTTACCGAAAGCAAAGCAAATTACACCTTCACCAATAAAAGTATTGGAAAGAGCGCGAAAATTGAAGCAGAAAAGATTCAAGTTTACTTCAAATTGTCGAATTACCAGCAATAAATAAACAACAACCTTTGATCTTTTTGGTCAGTTTGGGTCAATTTTATCGGAAAAACCTCAGTCATAAGACTTCATGAAACTAAAAGAGCTCTAAATGGATGAAATCATTTCGATCTGGCAAAGTAGTTTCTTTAAAAGTAAAAAAGCACTTGTTTTCTTCAGGTGTCTGTTACTTTATTTCCTAATGCAAATTGGCTACGTTTCAGTAAACGTCGCTTTTAGTACAAGATAAAGCCTTATTTTGACCACAAAATCAGCATTTCATCTCACGTTTCAGTTTTTACCGTTTCTTTTGCAGTGAATCTTTTTTAGCCAGCGTAAAAGAGCACGGAGTGCTACCGGCTATTAGAATTCGAGTTTTTTTGGTGAGTTTTTGTCAGTAATGATTAGTGCAGGGATCGAGCGTAACACTAACATAAAAATGAGCGGTATTGAATTTTCTTAGCGTATATTTGTGTTTTCAAATGTTAATAATATTTCAAATAAGTATAATTTTGAGTTGACCAGCCAGAGACCTAATCCGCAAGTGGTTAAATAAAATTTGCTAACTTTTAGTATTTTACAGTCTCTTACCTTGCGAATCGGAGGTCAGATGTAATTTAAACCCGCAATCAACTGATCTGATTGCTTAGCACCATCTCCTCCGATGAATTACAATGGTCCAGATTGCAAGATTTGTTAATGAAATTCAAATTTGTTGGTGCAGCTTGTAACTTAAAATGGACGTAAGATAAAGGTTGCGTAATCAAGTTGCCTGATTTTTATAGGCAGCATAATTCAAAATGTTTTTTTTTGTGTTTTAAAAGTGCAAATTGTCGCTTGTATCGAACCTGTTACTCATTCCATACTGGAAGCAAAACGACTGGATATATAAATTTATTGCGAGGGAAATTAAAGTGAAAATTTTTGATAGATTTTCGATATCAAGCTCTTCGCCACTTGAGCTAGAGGGTACGCGGTTGCCTTTGCACGCTAATGTCGGGTTTGAGTCGCAGTCAGATCTTCCTTGTTAGCGTGTATGAAACTGATTTTTTTTCCCGAAAAAAATGAATTATTGGCATCTCGTTTTTCTGCTTAAGTTTGTGAGCTTAGTTTGCGAAGCATGGTTTTTATTTCATAAAAAGAGCTGTAGCGAGCGTAGTGTTATAGTGCGAGTATTCTTATTCTAAGTCAAGGGTTGGCGTTGTTGCACAAAATTTGACATTTTTTTAAAATCAAAAGCTAGATTTTTTCTACAAAACATCAAAAAACACACGATATGATCTAATTTGAGCAAAGACTTGTTTTATATTATATTCTTATGCTCGACCTAGCAGAAATCTGCTGAAACTTTGAAAAAATCAAATTTTGAGAAAAAAAATAAAGAAAGTATATAAATCACTGCCTTGTATATTAAGTTTACCGAAATTTTAAAGAAATAATCATGAAATCAATAAAATAAGCATTTCATACAAAGTGCTACTACATTAGAACAGTTCTTATAACTTCAATGGCTTTGACGATTTCCAATATCTTGAACTTGTCTTTGGATGAAATAACGAAGTCCTTTTTTTGTTTTCTCATGTGAAGCCTTTGTTTGTTGACCTTAAGTTGAGTACTTCATCCAATGCTGAATCCTTTGTTTGTTGACATTAAGTTGATTACTTCATCCAATTCTCTCCTATACTTTGCGATTGGTCTCTGCAGAATCTTCTAAAGTCAGTTTTTTAACCTTTGCCGCTAAATTTACATTAATCTGACGTTTTGTCAAAGCAACAATAGCTACATAAACAAAGCATTTCGGTACTCTCAAATTACTCTTTAAAAACCAAATTTCCCGTTTGTCGTGCTTTTTATGAGTACTGCAACATGTTCGAGGGAAAAAGTTAGATTTTGCATCCGGCTTGAAAGAGTCTCTGCAGTCATTTCCCCTCAGTTTTTATCAAGCTGCTCTCTTATGTGGCTGGATGCATTCGTATAAAATTTCTTCAGCAAGAGCTAAGTAAAGCGTGTCTGTGTCCATCTCCAACTCTTCAAGTTTTTTTACATCGCAGAACTTGTCAAAGAAGTTGTAGAACTTAAACATTCTCAGCTTTGCATACTGAAGTATGAAAAACCCAACATTTATGGGTTCTCGGTGCTCAATGGTTGATTTCAACAAC